TGTGGCTTGAGAATTACCTCCAATACAGTAACTGAATCATTTGCAAAACAAAAGAAGCGAAAGATAATGTGAGTGGTTGTACTGGTAAATTTCCAGTATAGCTATAGCAGGGAGAGGACATTTCCAACTAAGTTACTGTGAGCAGTCAAATGTGGTGCCTTGGTCTGCTTTGGTAGGTGGTTCTGTGTGACCTTGCACCCAGCACAGAGGTCTGCATTATCTTTCTAGTCTGTATGTTCATCCCATATATAGAATCATAGAATGGTTAGGGTTGGAAGGGACCTCAAAGATCATCTGGTTCCAACCCCCCTGCCATGGGCAGGGAAACCCTCCACTACACCAGGTTGCCCAAAGCCTCATCCAACCTGGCCTTGAACACTTCTCTGCATCTATTTTTATATATGTGTGTATGTATACATAAACTTTATAAATGCGTATCTGCGCACACACGTACTACATTCACGTGTGGATAATAGCTAGCAATTTGTGGGAGGTGTAATTGTGCCCTTCATGTAAGAGAGAGAGTTTACACACAGTTTGTGCAAGTTGTGCAAGATGATGTGTCGGTCCTTACGTAGCTGTGGCAGAAACTGTAGCAAAAATTTTGTATGTCAGTAGATAGAGAAATATATAGAGAAGGTCCAGTATAAGGGAAATAATTGCTTTAGAGGTGCTGTGCTCTGTAAGAGGTCATGACCACTGCTCATTTGCATTTCTTCTGTTGAGAGTAGTGTTTGGTTTACCAGTACCATTCTCTGAGAGTTATGTATACCAGGCTTTCACTTTAGAAAGAAATTAGAATAATTAGTATAGTTGTCTGTACTATTTTCAGTTAAAACTAACATGCTTTTAAAGCGCTGTTATTGTTAAAATATGTGTTAATCTTCTCCAAAGAAATGTGACTCTATGAAATAAAAGCTGACATCTGATTAAAAGATGGATAGAAATTGTGTGAAAACCCAGTACTGCATGTAAAATCACACTTATTTTCACAGGCCTGAAATATCTTTCACTTCCTAATTTCAGGCTTGTTTTGCTATGTCAACAGCTAGTGAAGTCTATGTTCACACAGCTTAAACTAGTTCTATCCTGTTTATTTGTGCACCAGAGGAACAAAACATTGTTTAATAAACATTCTAAGAACATAATGTCAACATTATCTGCTTGTCCCATCCTGCAGAGACAACTTTCTTGTAAATATTCTACGACGTTCTTAAGGTGAAAGGCTTTTATGGCTTGCCAAAATCAGACTTAGAGGCTCTGCTTGCTCTAAAAAGGCATCACGGGGTTTTATTTATTTTTAAAAAATAAATATATATTTAGGAATTCTTTCCTAGTTGAACTGTATGGCAGCATTTTGTGTGCCCTGCCCCTCCTCCTCCCCAAGGGCCAGGTAATGTAGACACGAGTATAGAATGTGAAACACATGTACTCTGAACTTGCTTCTTGCCCTGCATGTAGTAGAACACTTCACTTACCTTTTTTCTTAGTTTCCATAGCTTAAAAAACGATAACCTCAGTAGCTTCTGACAAAATGAAAACGAGTGACATGTGAACTACTGTGGACAAATCTTGAAGTAAAAGGTAGACAAAGTTGACTGGTAGGCAGAGTTGATTTTTGTTGTGTCTGAGAGACTGTTGGGGTATAGAAAGTGTCCCTTACTCCTGAGTACCGACTTCCGTTATCCTGTGCTAAAATACCTCATACAATTTTCTGAGGTGAAAAAAAAATGCAAGTGTAAAATCAGTCCAGCAGTTTGTTTTGTGCTCTTATTTTAGAGAAATGTCATTGTGGCATACTGCTGCTTAGAAACCTCCTCGTTCAGAACTGGAGTCGGGCTTCCATGGATGTGTATGAAGATGAGGCTTCTCTGCACCGACAGTCAAATGGATGAGTTGCAGTAGGGACAACAGAGAACCAAAGGAAGGACACCTTAGGAGGAGGGGAACACTCCCTCCCAAAGTGTCTGGTCAGGGTGAGGTGTAACAGGATTGGGGTGGTAGGCGACAGTAGAAAAGGGAGCCTGTTGCAGTTTTGTATGCCAGACAGCTTCATTACCTTATATCCAGACACTTTTTTCTTTGAAATATATAGCTTCCTTCCCCTCCGCATTCCTTTTGTCTTTGAAATTGTGGTTCTTCTACAGGTGAACATTGACTACGTGTCAAAAATAACCTCCAAGTCATCATCCTTCTGCTTGGCTGTAGTTATATTTGGAAGCTCTTTGCAAATGCTTTTTTTGTTTGTTTCCCTTTCTATGTCTTTGGGGACAGATCAGCTGTACAGACTTAGGATAGGGTCAGTGGTTCTGCAGCTTATTGAGAAGTCAATGTGACCAAGTATGATCTAATCCATCTGATTAGACTGATGTCAGAATGATTCTTTTTTTACCTGAATGTCAATTTTTTTCAGGTAATGTGGAGAATTACTAGAACATAAGGATGGAACGACTGTATTTTTCTTCCAAGAATAAGATTTTTTAAAGGGCACTCCTCTGGCTGTGCTCCCCTCCCCTCCCCCCCATCTGGATTCTTACAAGTGCATTTATAATGAATTGTTAGAACTGAGAACCACTAGGATGAGAAGGTATTTCCCAACTTTTCTTCAGAAAGTTCATCATTGATTTGACAAACTCTTTTTAAACACACAGCTTATGAAGCTAGGTAAGAAATGGGTGTTAAACATAAAATAACGGCCATGTTTTAACATAGCAAAAGGGAGGAAGAGCTACAGCTCTTGGACAAGAGTTTGTATTCATAAAGAGGACATTTTCAGCAAACAGCAAGTCTAGGATGTTTGCTTATGTCTTTGAGCTACTGCTGTCCAGCACAGCCTGGGTTAGCAGGAGGTAGCCTGGGTTCTGAGACTATTTTAAGTCCGCGTTCCTAATACATTGCTGAATACGGCAGTTCCTAAAGACTCCAGTGTGTAATGTTGGATAGTTAACCTTAGAGTTCTCCCAGTGCAAAATGCCAAGTGTACTCAAGACTTTTTTTATATGTTAAAACTGGTTGAGTTCTTGATCCATTGAAATTGTTAGCTGATGGATTTCAGCATCAGTGTTAATGGTATGTGTTACTATATATATGCCAGTTCTTGCTCACCCCAATGGAAGTGCTGTAGTGTTGTCATGCTATGTGATCTCAGACGTGCCTGTGAAGCTAGAAATGGAGAGAACCAGATGGGAGAAATCTAGTAGGTCTGTAAAGTGCTGGTGAGGCCTAGAGGGGGGATACTGAAGAACAAGTGGGCTTCATAGTGTCTTTGGCACTTCAGTCTTTTAAAGTCATTTTTAATAAAGCCATGTTACCTCGTTAAAGCGAAGCACTTTTTTTGATTCCTTAAAATTGCTTCCATGTGGAACACTAAGTTCAACAAAATGACTTTGGGAAAAATTGTATCCATGGTACTTCTGAATAACATTTGCCTGTTGGACTACGGACTTAAGTAGTGAGTCACCAGGTGAGATGTTTTTTAACTGAAGTTGAAAATGTTCTGTGAGGAACACCTTCTTGAAGGTGAAGAAGGGACAGGACAGGAAGGGGCTCAAAAACCTGACCAGTAATAAATGATTGTAAATAAATATATGGTTATATTTAGTCTGCTGAAACATTATAGACAGCATTTTCAATTATCAGGTTATTTTGAGGGTGGCTGGTGGTCTGTTGGTTGGAAAGTAGTAACTGAATATTGGCTGAGAATGGTAATCACAGTCTTCTAGGTAAGATTGTTTTGTGAAATATCAGAACCCTTTGTGGGGAAAATTGACTTTGGACCAAAATATCTGTTGGTTTTGTTTTTTTTTTTTAGTTTTATTTATGTGGTTTAATGTATGTAATGGTATGATAGTCCAGGTTGGGCTTGGTGAGAGTACTCTTTCACGTGAAACACCTGGAAACATGATAATCAGATTGCAAATTTGTAAACCTAGCGTTCCAGTTTTCTGGGTTTTACCAAATCAAAAGTTTTTTATTAAATATACTAGAAATTGATGGGATTGGTTGTAGGTTATGATCATTTATGTCAATATACAGAAATCTTCCATCTGCAGTTTTTGTGAGACTGTTCCGCTCTTGAATCTTTTGGCCAACTAAAATGGTATTTTTGACCCTTTTATTGTTCTCTTGCTCTCTAACAGAATTCTGCTGTTTGTGTTCTTAATTTTGTTGCTGGCTTCCTGGCTCTGACTTTTTAGTGGATGTATGTTGCTTATTCTAGGACTTTTATCCTTGAATGCTATGTTCTTATGCTTATTGGGTGATTCTGCTCACTGTTGTTTCCACGAGTTTCACCAATGTTTAATCTTTCTCTCCATTTTAATCTGTGTTCAGTTTGTAACAAAACTTGCAAAAAGATAGGAAGAAATTTTGCCTTTATCATGACAGTACTCAAACAGCTGGCTCTGTGAGCGTATTACTGACAATATAAATTTAAGGGAAAATAAAATTAATTCACAGAATGCAAGTAACAGGAGACTCAACAAGTCTGAAAGCACAGCTTTGCTTTTCTATAACCAAGCTTCATTATGCTACCCTTTTGAATTTTTCCTTTACTAAGTTCCTTACTAAGTGCTTTGTACCATTTTAGCTCCTTGGTTCTGTTCCCTCTTTTGAAAAATTTATTTTTAAATGCCTCTATCTCCAGTCTAGGAAATATATTACTTTTTCCTACTTTGCATGAACTTAACACTTCATGCTTTTTCTTTTCTCCTAGATGTTTTCATAACTTCATCTTTTTTGCCTCTTCTATCTTGAGCTGCTGTTTGCTTGTTATGCAAGTGTTGTGATGCACTTCTAAGAATGGAGAAAGAGTGATTTGCCACTTCTGTTGCTCAATTTAAATTGAAGACATCTGCATCCCTGCAAATACCACTTTACTTGTGTCAATAGTTTTCTACTTGGACAGGATACGTGGACTGTTCTGTTTCAACTTCACCAATATGCTGTAAGTAGCTAAAGCTTTACTCAGTTCTTGTTTCTTTTTTCCTTTTTAGGCATATGCATCAGGATGTGATATTGTGGTATTGGGGACTGACTTTGAAAGATTACAGATAATCCCTGGAGCAAAACATGGAAACATTCAAGTGGGATGTGTGGACTGTTCAATGCAACAGGGGAAGGTACGTAGAGCAGTGTTTCTAATAATGCTCTAGCGGTGTCATGATAAGCACTTCCTCAAGAGTGGATACTTGCAAGTGAAGGCAAACATGCAAGAGTGAATAGTAAAATGGCTGATTGCTTCCTGTCTTTATTTGTGGTAAGTAGCACAGTGAATGTGAAATAGTAACCATAGATAGGAAATTGTAGAACGTACGTAGGGCTGCACAGGAAGATACAGAGACACACAGGGATGCATAGAGGAGATAACAAGAATTTGACTAAAAGATGGAAGCAAAGGTAATTTATTCTCTCTGGCTTCACACTACTGGGCGTGTCATTGACACACTTTGACTTGTAAGTGAGTGGCAGCAGGTGAGGGCTTCCACAAGTCACTTTCAGGTCATCCAGAAAAATGACATCCCTTTCAAGCAATTCATAAAGGCTTAAAATTGCTCTTGGACAGGGTTTTACTTTCTTGAATTACCAGCTTTTCTTTTTCTTATGCAGGTAAACGGGATCAGAAGTGTTGTATTTTAGACACTATTAAGTTTCAAGTCCTTTTTACAGAGATAATAATTGTTCTGTCACAGTAAAAATGAAATAACCAGGTAATTCTATCCGTCGGGATGTCACAGAGTTATTAAGCTATTTACCAGTTGAGTAGGAACTGTGGCTTGATGCATGTTGGCTCATAGAAGAGGAGTTTTTTACTTTGTTGCTTTCTTTAAGCCTGTCCTAGTTAGGAGATAATGTGAGCCTTCTGCATGTCACCACAAGCCTTATGAGTTGGCAAGAGCTTTGGTTAGATTCTGGTGTCCACCTTGAGACAAGACTTCTGCGTGGAAGCCAGTTGATGTTTACATGTGACATCTATGACGAGGATGCCCAGCCACTCTCTCTTCCTGCTTTTTAATGTTTGAGTGATGAAGTCTTGCACTGGTAGTGAAGGAACATAAATGAAAATGAGGAAGTATTCTCCTCTGTGTCTCTGGTACCTTGTAGCTGTAAAGACTGCCTGTGTTTCTCCATCAGCTACTGTTAAGTAGAAAGGATTTTTGAGTTTGCTGACTGTATATTAACAGATGCTGAAATACACATGCAGGTCACATATCACAGTTTATCTTAATTTTTCTGCAAATTTACGGGGTCATCGTGACTGCACAGTAGCAGTTCTGTATGCATTTAAATGACAAACTGTCCATGAAATCTAAATTAACACATACGGATATCTGAAACTATCAGTCTTACTAAGCTTTAGAACTTTTTCATTTCTTAAGTAGACCTATGCGGTCATTTTGATTCTGCAAGTTGATTCTGTTTGCTGTTAGCGATTAGACTAGATGTATTTGCAGAGTGCTGTGAATGAATGTGAATAAGCAGTGAATGGCTAGGAATCTACTTACTGACCATACCGATCGATACATTTCCAGTTCACTGTTGGAAGGGTGGAATTTCTTCTTACAGTATTGACACACAGGTTTCTCTTCAGTTTACCTACAGATTATTCTTCATTGTTTAAGATCTATAGGAAGAAGCAGAATGGAAATAATGCAGCTTATTTAGGTTGCAATTTTGAATCTTTCTAGAATGTTTCTGGTTATAATTTGTAGTTTATGAACTATGTACCTTTTTAATTTTTTACTTTACGGAAAGCTGCTATCAAGCATTTTCTCCATAATAGCTGGCCTTTAATCTCTTTGAAGGGTCTCTGTCGTTCTCCTTTTGGATGACAGAATTGGTTTGTAAAAGAATTATTTTTTAGTTTCTAAAGTAATGAATTGAAATTTTTCTCTGATCTTGTCCTCTGAATCTAATTCTAGTTCGTTAGGAAGCTGGTGCCGTGGGAAGATACTTTGAAGTAGGAACAGCTTTAAGTTCTCTTGGCTTTGAAGGGTGGGGGCAACATGGCACCACCTTTTCTCTTTCTAGTCTAATTTTGAAGAAAAACTTACTTCTCTGTCTCCAAGAATGAGATCAGGGGAAAAAAGTGGATGACAATTTTTAATCATACCCAAAAAAGCATGTGTGTGTGTGTTTATTATTTACATGTGTTTGTATGTGTATGTATATCAGCCTTTTTAATAAGCCTCCCATAGATTTGCAATGACTCACTTCACAAACAGGACAATTTAATCTTAGGCCACTGAATTAAGTTTCTTGCCTCTGGTTGTAGGCAAGTTGGTAATCAACAATTTATTTGTAAGTCGGTACAGTACTTAATCTTCCCCCACAAAATGTAAGCTACCAGCCTCTTTCCACTTCCTTTAGAGAACATAACAATTAAGCCCAAAACTTTTAATGATAACCTGACAAAACTTTTAATTGTTTTCGTGGTTTGGATTGTACAAATATCTAATAGGGTACAGAAGGTAATCCTAGCTTCAGATCATGTGAAATGTTTAATCAAAGTTGTTTGCATCATGGCTGGTGACTGCAGTGTTACAATGTATATGAAATGTTTTCTTTATGGAACAAACTATTTTGCAGATGTCAAAGTAAATGTAGGTAGTAATTAAAAATTTCATTTAGTTTACATGATAAGTAAAGCCAAGTTTGTTGAATAAGATGTTTTTAAAGACTTTTTTTTTTTATAAGTAGAGTTACTAATTATTTTGAATGTGAAAGCTCAATTTTGCATCCAGGGTTTATCATTTCATGAACTGTGCTATGATGGAGTTTGTTTGTTCTTTAGTTGGCAGTGTGCGGGTTCTTTTCAGAGGAACTATGTTTTGTTTTCTGCTCTTTGGTAGTTAGTGATAATGTAACTCAGTACAAGTTACAGGCCTTTTCATCCATGAGAAAAATGTTGAGGGCTTCTATGCAATATGGAGGCCTGCTGGGAGAAGACATAAGTATGTCAAGAAACTATTTGGATTATAGTAAAACTTTGTAAAATGAGAACCTGATCATAGAATCATCTGGTTGGAAGAGACCTTCAAGATCATCGAGTCCAACCATTCGCTCTGCACTGTGTCAGGGTCCCTAAACCATGTTGCTCAACACCAAATCTACACAGTTTTTGAACACCTCCAGGGATGGGGACTCCACCCCCCCCCGGGGCAGCCTGTTCCAATACTTCACAACCCTCTCTGTAAAGTAATTTTTCCTGATATCTAACCTAAATTTCCCCTGGTGCAACTTGAGGCCATTCCCTCTCGTCCTGTCACTCACAACGTGGGAGAAGAGACTGACCCCCATCTCCCTACAACTTCCTTTCAGATAATTGTAGAGAGCGATAAGGTCCCCCCTGAGCCTCCTCTTCTCCAGACTAAACTGTCCCAGCTCCCTCAGCTGCTCCTCATAGGACAAGTTCTCTAAACCCTTCACTAGTTTTGTTGCCCTTCTCTGAACCCGCTCCAGCACCTCAACGTCCTTCTTGAAGTGAGGGGCCCAAAACTGGACACAGTACTCAAGGTGTGGCCTCACCAGTGCTGAGTATAGGGGGACAATCACTTCCCTGCTCCTGCTGGCCACACTGTTTCTGATACATGCCAGGATTCTGTTGGCTTTCTTGGCTGCTTGGGCACACTGCTGGCTCATGTTCAATCGGTTGTCGGACAGCACCCCCAGGTCCTTCTCTGCTGTGCAGCTTTCCAGCCACACTTCCCCAAGCCTGTAATGCTGCAGGGGGTTGTTGTGGCCCAAGTGCAGGACCCGGCACTTGGTCTTGTTGAATTTCATACAGTTGGCCTCGGCCCATCGATCCAGTCTGTCCAGGTCCCTCTGTAGAGCCTCCCGACCCTCAGGCAGATCAACATTACCTTCCAATTTAGTGTCATCTGCAAACTTGCTGACTGTGCACTTGCTGATGCCGCCAGTTATATTCCTACTTTGTACAAATTGGTGAGGATGGACAAAGTTATTGCCCCACAGACTGATGCCTTATTCTTATATGGCGGTGTAAGAATTTTAAAGTCATAGAATGATTTGGATTGGAAGAGAGCTTTAAAGATGATCTAGCCCACTCCCTGCTCCCGTTGTGGGCAGACACATCTGTCACTAGAACCTGTTGCTCAAAGCCCCGTCCAACCTGACCTTGAATGTTTTCAGGGGTGAGTCATCCACAGCCTCTTTGAGCAACCTCTTCTGGTGTCTCACCACCCTCAGAGTGAAGAATTTCTTCCTTAAATCTAGTCTGAAGCTACCCTCTTTTAGTTTAAAACCGTTAGCCCTTGTTCTATCACTATAGGCTCTGGTAAAAAGTCTTTCTCCATCTTTCTTGTAAGTCACCTGTAAGTATTGAAAGGCCCCAGTAAGGTCTCCCCAGAGCCTTTTCTTCTTCAGACTGCACAACCCCAACTCTCTCAGCCTGTCCACATAGGAGAGGTGTTCCATCCCTGTGACCAGTTTTGTGGCCTGCCTCTGGACCTGCTGTAACAGGTCCATGTCTTTCTGATGCTAGGGACACCAGAGCTGGATGTAGTGCTCCAGGTGGGGTCTCATTAGAGCGAGAGAATCATGTCCCTTGGCCTGCTGGCCACCCTTTTTTGGGTGCAGCCCAGGATACAGTTGACTTTCTGGGCTGCCAGTGCACATTGCCGGCTCGTGGTCAATTTTTGTCCACCAGTACCCCCAAGTCCTTCTCTACAAAGCTGCTCTCAATCTGTCCATTCCTCTAGTCTGCATTCATACTGGGGGTTGCCCAGGGTGCAGGACCTTGTGCTTGTCCTTGTTGAACTTCATGAGGTTCACGCCTGTCAGGGTCCCTCTGGGTGGCCTCCCTTCCCTCTGGTGAATCAGCCGCTCTGCTCGTGTCTGTCACTCGCAGACTTGCTGAGGGTGCGCTCGCTGCCACTGTCTGTCACTAGGAATGACCGTAACCTCCCCCTTATGACTCGGTGAGGCTTCTCTGCACTTCTTACGTCTTATGGCAGGACTTAAGACTGCAGTAGGTGTTTGGTTGATGTCTGGATGATTACTGTGGTAGTTTGGGAAATTCTTCAACACACAAATTTGCATTATTCTTTTTGGTGGCATGGTGCTCAGTGAAGACTAGTCTGAGTGGCTTTATCATTGTGGAAGCCTGTGGCAACTTTCAGGGGATAGCAGTTGCTCTAAACACTATTTGTTAAGACTTTCGGCGTGCCAATGTTCATTTGTCTTAAAAACCCACTGAACAATAAAAAAATGGAAGAACTGTCCACGCTTGGAAGAAAGGAAAAATTTGATCAATATGAGCTTACATAAACTTGTTGCTGTTGGAATGTGGAGGGAATTACGAGAATAAAGAAATTGAGATCATTAAAGAGAATTAGAGAGGGCAAGTATTAGTCTGACATGAAAGGAAAAAGTTTCTTTAGGCATTTTGCAACTGTGACAAAATTATTCTTGGCGTTTTTGGGTCAGACTGATGTTTAGGTTGTCAGTGTGATAGAAATTTAATTAGCTGTCTGTTCTTTGTAATGCAGATGCTTTCTCTTGAAGGTATGGATCTATGGATTTTGGGATCTGTACAGATCTGTACAAATGTACAGATCATGCACATCTGTAATTGATCTGTAAATAATATTAACAACTTAAGTATGACGGTTTAATGTTTGGGTTTTTTTTCTTAAAACTGTTGTGGCTAATGCTGAAATTAAAATGCATTTTATAAAGTGACTCTGACTTTCTTTAATATTATTAAAGGAAAACTGCGAATACTTTCTGATCCAGAATCTCACAGAAATAGGAAATTGACTTTTATAACATATCAGAACTGTAGGTGTGCTCCTTTTAACATCAAGCATCACTTCAGAATTCAGGGTGTCCATTATGCATGGCCTATGCAATCTCCTTCATTTTGTAAATCTGTATTTCGGGGTAGTTTTTGACAACATTACCTTGTGATGGCTCTCTAGAGCTCTCTACCAGATGTCTTTAACATACATTGGCTTGTTTTGGCTCTTATTAGCGAGTCTTTTAAGCTTGCTTTTATATAGATATCTTCAGATAAAATACTCTTTACTTTTGTCTTAATGCAAGTTTGGAGTGGCTAATAACACAGATCGAATAAGACTTTGAAATACTAATTAAAGCTGACCATGCTGAAACTTTTTTCAAGTATGTTATGCTAGCATTTATCATTCTTATGTTTTGCAGTTTTGTGCATTGGGTGTTTAGCTTGCGTAGCTCAAGTCTTCTGAATTAACTTTTTATCACGTAGCATGTTCTTATGCTAGAAAAGTCCACAAAAACACCCTGAACCAATGCTGGTTCTGTTTCTGAGAATGTGAACTTGGCAGACTTCTTTGAGTGTTTACCTAATTTAATGTGGAAAGAGTATTGATAATAGGTCTGTTTTTTTCAAAAAAAAGCTCATGTCCACCTGTACTGTCATTAGTTCATCGAGACTAATGTGTAAGTAAAGAATTGTGTTTTTGTAGTCGTCAGCGTTTGCTTCATTTTTTTTGCTAGGTGTCATTTTTCTGTTATTGAAAGGGAATATGGGTGTGAGCTTCAAATTTATCTGCAAGGAAGGGTGAAAGTAGGATCAACAATTTGCATTTTATTCTTATTTGTTCTATAGCTTGTTTCTTCTATGTGTGTTTAAGTACATATAAATTTAAATGTCTTTAGATTGCAGCTTCTTACGGAAATGCGATTTGTATCTTTGAGCCAGTTAACCTCTTGAAGCAGAACAGCGGTCATCATAATGTAAGTAATTCATCACTCCTCAATTCACGAACTCCGTTATAAAGCCTGACTCATTTTTCTGATTTGCTTTGAGATTTCTTTGATGGCTTCTTTTGATGCTAGAATAAAATCGAGAGATGTGGTAGTCCTTGGGAAGTGAAAATGGTGGGAGGAGGGCAGAGACGTGTTATTTGAAACAGGTTTTGTTATGATGCTTCGTATTACTGGTTAATCTAACCCTACAATTCATAACTGAAATATTCCAGAACCCAAAAAGATGTGCACGCCTCAGCTCTCCAAAGAGTACAGCCGTCACAACAGGGATTCCTTTGTGAACCATCCTGTGTAGCCTTTATATCCTGATGTATTTTACAATTATTATTTTAACTTTGATCTATGAAATGGCATGCTTTTAGTCAAATCTATAATAATTTCAAAAAGTCTATGGCTTTTTTACAGTATCTGAATGCTTATACTTTAGTGCCACAATGATGAATAAGAACAATATTTATTCTCTTGATAGCATGGCTTAGTTTCGGTGACAGTGGTTTAGTGTTAGCGGACCGAATCTTAATTTAATCTTAATTATCTTAATGATTTAGAGCAAGTTATTTTACCATGCTTCTTACATGAAGAGGATTACTCTTATCATTAGAAGCATTAGAGTCTAATTAAAGTCAGTTTGACAATAATGAGGGCTTTAATAGCAATTGCTCAAGGAGCTTTTGTCTCCCTCTTCAGGGGTTTGGTCACTCTGTATTATTAAATTGTTTATATGGCTGTATAGTGGATTCCCTTCTTTACACTAACCAGCTCATTCATATGTTTCCTGATGTACTTGTAAACCAGTGGTATTTTATATATTAATTAAATAACTGGTATTCAATATATGTATGTAATATTTTATACCACTGGAAAGCAATGGAATGAAATAATCATAAAATGTGACCTCCTATACTCATATGAACTCTTTAGAGGAACTGCTCTTTTTTTTGGTTGTCGAAGCTGTTGAATCCATCCTGAACGTTTTTCTATGTGGGTAAATGCTACATTTGCCTTGAAACTTTGAAGTTAACGTAGTAACTGTAAGCAGTAGAAGAAGCACTCTCTACCCATGATTTGCTTTCAAAGATTTATAATTGAAGAAATATTCTGTTACTTCATTCTTGTAGCTAACCTCTATGCGATAATTCCCAGCATATTTAGATTGTTGTAAGTCTGTCTTTCATTTACTAGAATGTTGAAAATCTAAAAAAACCCAAACAAACCAAAACCAAACCAAATACTCAAACAAAAAAACCCACAGCTTTAGAAATATTTCATTATTTAATTTAGATCCTTATCTGCAGATACTTCTTAATGGTTTCTACCAGGCTTCTGAAAGATTTAGTTGCTATATTTTAACTTTCATATGTATTGGTTTGATATTTTTTTGGAATGGAGGACGATTACTTTAAAAATACCTGTCTCTGTGAGTTAAGAAAAAAATCCCTGTTGGCTCTTAATATCGTTTCCAGTAATGATTTTAGTTTCTTTTATAATTCAAAGCATCAAAACTTTGCAACCTAGTATGGAAAATGGAGCAGATAAATATTTTGTGAATTTAATCCTCAGCTTGTTCCAGTGAATAAAGTAATGATGCAAAATCCGAAGATAGTTGACTGTCCTGTTGTATGTTACAAAAAAAGGGGGAAATATTGTATACATTAGATTGACCTTACTGAAATACTTTAATTCAACGATACTACTGATTCCAAACACCAGGTGCATTTAGTGTATTTCATTTCTGAAATACCTTTTTTTTTCAAAAAATAAATCAGACTTCCCTTTAAAAAAATGTCAGATTCTGATGATGATTTTGTGTACTGAATTTTTTTCAAGCTGTATTTTTAAAATAAGAAGTTAGAAACTTCCATTTGTATGGTCAGGTTGTTGGAAAGCTGTTTTGTTTAAAAATCAGAATGAATCCATTTTTATTGGATGAGCAGTAATGTATTTTTAAACATATCCTTCATGAAAGTTGGAGAGTGCAGTGAAGATGTGCTTTTTATATTATAAAAAGGGAAAGGAGGGGAAGGAAGCATTTTAATACTAATGTTTGTGAATACTTAAAATTTCAGACATTACATTATCAGTGGCAGAAGAATGCTCAAATCTTGCTGGAAGCCATAGCTCATAATCTAACATGGGATCCCACAGGTAAGAATAGAATAAAAGAAACACTTGACTATTTGATAACTGCAACTATTTTTTTTTTATTTAAATTTCACTGTTCTTTGGGGACAAGGAACAGATTTTTGGTTTGTCCTAGCATGATAGAGAACACCAAAGTGGAGTGAAATCTACATTTTGTCACTTGTTATAGAAGAGCCAAAACATTAGGTGCATCTGTACGGTCATACTCGATTATCCTGACCTCAGCAATATCAAATGTTTAAAAACGTGGCTTAAATTGTATTTGTTGTGAAAGTAAGATGCTTACAGTAGCTCTAGGTGTTTCTTTTAGAGAACAACTAATTTGAAAATTTGATGAATTTTCAGTATTTGAACTGCCAGATACTCAAATCAAAATGTCTTATGCATGAGTATCTTCTTGCAAGATTGACTCAGTCTATATCCGTGTAGGGGAACGTGTAAACGGCACACTGCTATTATGGTAACTTTGCTGTAGAAAAGGTGTTGCGATAATATCTGGTATATTTTGTTCTGAAGTTTCAGCTTTGCAAAGTGTTTTTTAACTCTCTTTATAGAAGTCTGTATTTTACTACTTGTTTTGTAGTTATATTGTTACAAATATTTGTTTTAGGCACTCGCCTTTTGACTGGTTCCAGTTGTCTTCAACTTTGGTCCAATGTTCCTTCGGAAAACTCTTCTGACAATGACAATCCTGAAAGAACAGATATTGGACTTGGAGAATGGAGGTGTATATGGCAATGCAAGTAAGAAACTCATTTAAAGACAAGTAATTCCTTTTTCCTTTGCTGATTTGTACCTTTCAGATGAAATACTTAGTGTAGTTCAGTGAAATCCTATCTATACTGTTACTTGATAAATATTACTGATATGTGATTAATTTGAATAATATTTCCCTTGAATATGTGAAATTTCTTTCTTTCTACAAGATCAGTTGTAATTGTTTTTGAGATAGTTTATTTTCTTAGACAGTTCTTCAGTTATATTGAACACTAGTAAAATACTGAGGGAAGGCTGGTATTGAGACTATCCCAGTAAGACTTTGTTCCTTGTAGAAGTAGTAAGGTGAAATCTGCATATTTGAAAATTATTGTGCTTGCAGGACTGATAAAATAAATTTCCTATTATGTCCAATGTACTGCACTTTTCTTTCCTTCTCACGCATCTTCCCTCTTTCACACAACTTTTACTTTTTCTGTGTTTATTCTGGATGTTTGGAGCGTCACGTGAAGATAGATGCATTCTGTTGTACTGCATCTGAATGCCACTCTTCTATTCATGTTGAACAATCATTTTAATGATAGAATGATTAGGGTTGGAAGGGACCTCAAAAGATCATCTAGTTCCAACCCCCCTGCCATGGGCAGGGAAACCCTCCACTACACCAGGTTGCTCAATGCCTCATCCAACCTGGCCTTGAACACTTCCAGGGATGGGGCATCCACAACTTCTCTGGGCAACCTGTTCCAGTGCCTCACCACCCTCAGAGTGAAAAATATTTTTCTTATATCCAATCTAAATCTGCCCTCTTTCAGTTTAAAGCCATTGCCCTTTGTCCTATCACTACATACCCTTGTAAAAAGTCCCTCTCCAGCTTTCCTGTAGGCCCCCTTTAGGTACTGGAAGATCACCCCAGAGCCTTCTCTTCTCCAGGCTGAACAGCCACAACTCTCTCAGCCTGTCTTCATAGCAGGGGTGCTCCAGCCCTTGGATCATCTTTGTGGTCCTCCTCTGGACCTGCTCCAGCAGCTCCATGTCCTTCCTGTGTTGGGGACTCCAGAGCTGAACACAGTATTCCAGGTGGGGTCTCATGAGAGCAGAGTAGAGGGGCAGAATCACCTCTCTCGACCTGTTGGCCACGCTCCTTTTGATGCAGCTCAGGATACGATTGGCTTTCTGGGCTGCACACGCACATTGCCATCTCATGTAGAGCTTCTCATCCACCAGCACTCCCCGGTCCTTTTCCTCAGGGCTGCTCTCAATCCATTCTCTGCCCCTCCGGTACTTGTGCTTGGGATTGCCCCGACCCATGTGCAGGACCTTGCACGTTAGGTTCTCACAGGCCCTCAGTCTTCATGTCTGTGTGCTGGTACATTCAGAAGAATTTTAGTTTAGTACTTCAGTACGAGACAATTTAAATCATGGTCTTTTCTGCCATAGGAAGACTTTTCTAATGCATCAGGTGCACTGTTCTCTTGGAAACAACATACCATATGGCAGTCTCCTTAACGAAGTCTCCTGAAGTGGCTGACTGGAGGGACCCACCTGAAATTATTCTTTATGAAGCACTTAGCTTTAGTTGGGTAGTTCCCTGGATGTACCTGATAAAATCCTTTTTTAATCCTTCAGTTGTTCCTTTTTATGTGTACTCTAACTTTTATCAAGGATGTGGTTAAAATCCCAAGATATCCAAATGACAACTGAAAAAAATTCCTGTGAGTATGATCTGCTTTCTAAGTAAAGGAAGTTGAAGACTTAATCAATTTATTGAGACGCCATTGGACCCTCATCTCTCAGCTTAATTAGAGAAGGAGTCAGCCTGTAGATACAATGTCATGGGTATGGTTTTAGTCTCTGGGGTTGTAGTAACAGTAGTCAAGGTCATACAGGTGTACTGCTTTTCCTCTGTCCTTTTAATAATATATTTTGCATTTGTATCATGAACCTTACAGAAGTCTTCATAGCTCTCCACCTCTTTTCCTCTTTTAAACTCTTCTGTGGATGAGAGAGAGCTGAGCGTTGTGTGCTTTGAACTAGGAGGTCCTGGAAAGGGTCAACAGAACTTGCTTTGTCAGTTCTCCTTTCATGCCTGTATGTCTTCTGGCATTTGTACCTCAGTTAGATTTAGAATAGGTTTTTCTTAAGGAGAAGTTTGGAAGATAGTGATTTTGCAGTACTGCCCTTTGCCAGAATAATTTTTAATAACCGAAGGAGGCATTCCCAAGCACCAACAGGGGAACGGTGCTTAAACCTAGGTGGAAATTGACTTGCTTTGATGTGCAGCTTTTGTGATTGACTTGCTGTTGTTACTGCACACACTAAATGCACCATGCTTTTGTTGACCTAATGGCTAATTTAATCCTTCCTGATAGTTAGGCCTTACAACTTATTACATGTGTTTGATAAACTCAGGATGAAAATATACACTGTACTCATGCTGCACAATTAAATGATTGTGTGTTCTGTTGACATTAATAAGCCTGTCACTTAGGCGATAGCTCAGAGTTTCACAAGCTGTAACGGAAGCTCATTTATTAGTATTTCCAATGCAAGTAAAACAGCAACAATGAACCACGTGCATAACTTTAGTTGATTTTGACCTGGCATCTTTTACCAGTGTGACTGCTAATGTAAAAACTACTTTCAGATGCTTCTTAACTACATTATTCTTTTTATGTCTTTTTGTTTTCTTGTGTTACAGCTGTAGGAAGTACGAGAAATGGAGGTGTCTTTCACATAAGTTGAAAGTTAGTATGGGGAGAGCAGAAATCAATTTGAAATCCAAATGATTGTGAAGTAGAAGTAGAGCATATCTGCATAGAGTTTAATCTGTTAGCAGCTGGTTTTCTCTCATGGTATTTTGGAATACTGGATATTGTAGCACCGTCAGCTACAGCTTTTTGATTTTTCTGGGTTTTGTGTGTGACCACAACCATGTGTTGCACATAAGTTTACCTCCTAGTCCTCTGGACTTTGTTAAAGCTTAAGTTGTTTCCCACAGTACAATCGACACTTGCATCTAAGATCACTTTCATGAGTTCAGGGGGAAAAAAATATTTGGAAAAAGTTCTTAAAACTTACTTTCTATTTTTAATTGTCTTTATTTCATAGAACTGCTTCTCAAGTTTGTTTAATGAAATTCTCACCAGACGGGGAGTTTTTTGCTACTGCTGGAAAGGTAAGCATTTCTTTCTAATTTGTTTTTTACTAATCCAAATAAGCTATTTAAGGAAATCAAACAAAACCACTTTTTTTTAAAAAAAACCCTCACCTTTTAAATGAAAAATTTATTTTTTATATATTTTTGTGTGGTATTTGCAGTAATCTCTCTATGCATTTTTAGGTGTTGGTAAATAAGAATCTGGCAGAAAGGTAGTTCAGAGGGGTGGAACCCAACAAATATTCACTGCTTACTATTTTAAAATACCTGTTTTTAATCAGCACGAAATCGTAAGACGTCAAAAAGAGAAGAGATCTGTGGAGGGCTCCCTGCTGGATACCTTTCTAGTGAGGGAGATATATTCCATATTTCACTATTATCGTAACAACATTAATCAAAAATAGCTCTTTAGTATCTTTTTGTGTCTGTGTGCCTATTTGTGCATGTAGAAGAGAATTCACATTACCTTCTGCAGGTATATCTGCATGTTGTTAACATCAGTGTTTCTGGCCAGTCTTACAGACTAATTAATTCTGTGTGCTCAGCTTTAAGTGGTTTATCAGCAAAATCAATAAAACCCCTTGGCAAAGTAAGCAAAAAAAGTTAAAGCAAAATGTCACTGTCATATCTTTTCATTTCCTGAAACATTAAGTGGTCTTTTGTTTGTACCACGAAACTTGATGTCCAGGTCTTGTAAGAGAAATCAAGATAATGTACAGGATCCAGTGAAAAAGTGACAAATCCGTATGAGAATTTGTATTACTTGTTAAGGGATGTAGAATGAGTAGTTATTTTCTGCACATAATACTGCTGTCTTCAGTTGAGGGGAGAGCCACATTGGCATTGGTCAAAAAGTTCCAGTAAGAATATACAGACCCATTGCATCAGAATTTATGGGATTATCAAAGTAGATTATAGGGAAAAAAAAATCAGATTCCTGTTTTTAGAAAAGAAACAGAAAACTTAAGCAGTTTTAACACAGATTAACAGATGCCGGTAGGCACCAATTTGTGCTACCAACTGAAGAACCTAGCAGAGACTGCAGAATTATTAAAAATGAAACAAAATGCTAGTACGTAAGGTTAATTGGGACAATGCGGTTCCTGAGATTAGTGAAAACCTGGTTTAAGTGTCACAGGCTCCAGATCAGTATTGACCTGGCAGAACGAGTTTCAGACTGAAGAATGACAGGCAGTTGTGCAGTTTGGTCTAGTCCATCTTGGAAGCATGAATGGAAAGTTAGTATGTGCTCATAAAGGTTGGTTAGAGCAGTGTTTGATTTAGTAGTAGTGTGTGGAACTTTGCTGTTCCTGTTTAGATCATAATGTCCTTCAATAAATGCCCAAAGCACAAAGATTCAGGGATAGTTGAGCCTGCAAATAAATCTTGCTTTAAAAGGTAGTTGTAATGTATATTTTCATGATTCAGTTGTATGCATCAAGAACAGATGAGTAACATACATTTTGCTTAGTTTTAGGTGTTTGATTTTTCCTCAAAAGCTTGCCATTTCAGATCATTATGCTTGTGTAGAAGACTAACTTTTAAGGCATTTGCTGTCTTTAAGGAAGAGACAAAGATAATATAATAATAATACAGGTTCGTTTTTTTTTTTTTTAGGTAAACTCATTCCACTTGACTAGTTTCCATATGTATTTTTTTATGGAGTTAATATTTGTTTTAAAAGTCAAGTTTTAATGGATTCTAATATTACATTGTGATTGAATTGTGGAAACATAAATTGATCTGCTAATAGCTTCTGTAGGGGTAATATCCATGCAGTTTTTGAACGGAATGTCTTATGTCCTGTTGTGTTACTGTGTATTATAAACTCATGCAAAGCACAATTACTAAGTAAGTGGGGCTAAGTAGGGAAATTAATATAAGATTTTTTTTTTTACCATGAATGACTAAGTTCATTACCTGCCTGCAGAATCTTTAAAATGCATCTGGGTTTCTGTGTCTTCTTTTTTTTGTTTAATTTTTTTATGAGAAAAGATGCTGATCAGCAAAGCAACCTCCCCCTCCCCACAACTGGGTCATGTTAAGCATACTCAGGTTAATACAATATTTCAGTACCATTGATATTTAATAATTGATCATCAACTTGTGAATCTAGATCCAGATTAATTTGCCTGGTTCCTAAAGGTGTAAGGACAAGGACATTAGAAACATGATTTTTTCAATTTATTTATGTGCACATCTAAGAAAAGAAGGCTGAGCATTACTGAGCTTGATTTTCGAGATGTCATCTTTGACCTTTATTTGTATTCCTGACATTTACATTTTTGTGTGTAGGTTTTGGGGGATTTTCTGTCAAAGTATAAGTTGTATTAACATTTGAATACCAGCTCAAGGAGTACAGCTTGCATTTCTGTGGTTAGAAATTGTCAGCTAATCAGAAGGAGCAAAATTAAATCCAAATTAATAATGGTAAGAGAGATTAAAAGGAAGCTCTGCTACCGTGCTTTTTTTATGAGCAGGTTTTGACGTTCTGATGACAGAAAGTCATGTACAGTAAATAGAAGAATATTTTATGTAAAGAAGGAAGGAAACCCAGGAGGCATATCCGGAAGTACTTGAAGTGCATCATGTTCTTATGCAATATAGTCTTATTTACTGTCTTTTTTTTTTTTCCCCTTTTCCCCAGGATGATTGTCTTGTGAAAGTATGGTACAATACAGACAGTTGGAGAACAGCTGTAACACCACCTGGTGCAAGTCCAGAAAACCAAGCAAAAGAAGTGGATTTTTCATTTGTTTATTTGGCTCATCCTCGATCAGTAAACGCGTTTTCATGGAGGAAGACCAGTAAATTCATGCCACGGTCAGTAGTTCTAATAACCTGAGGTTTGTAAATTGCCCAAAAAACCCAAACTGTACAGTCTTGCCAGCTGAACAGTCAACAGTTATGCAAGTTGTACAGTTTACTTCCGTTAATAGTTGATTTTTGCACACTTTGTATATTGCTTGTGTGTGTTCTTATAATTCCTTCACACTGAAGTTTTTGAAAGGATGGTAAGTATCCTTTTGCATGGGAAGGAACTGGAAAGATAGAAAGGGAGTCCTACAGACTGGCTTAGAGATTGGACTAAATATAAAATCAGCTCTTGCAAAATTGCCTCTCTATGCGTTTTTATGATTGCACTGTCTTTAAATGACTAGTCGTGCATTTGATCCCTATTTGCTCCTCTCTTTCTGTCTAACGGAATGGGAGCAGTTCAAAAGTCCTGAATCTTTATGTCACCTTTCTCAAACTTTCAGATATTTCTGAATAAAAATAAAATAAAATGTCTTTTATTTCATTTCTCTACCTAGTACAAAACTAGACCTCTGTCAGAAACCGTATTTGGAAATGGAATTAAAATGATAATTTGGAATTGGTATTTTGGGTTTGATGGTTTTTTTTGTGTTCCGATGATTCCTGAACTTCCTGTCCCTAGTACTCACTAGTAGCTGCAGTCTCAAACTGAAGTAACATTACCAATTTTGTGCCCTGCAAACATCTTTTTGCCATATTATTCCAAAGAGTAGCCACTAGAATTCTGCATGCTGGAATTCTGCGTGCCTTTTGTGGTTTAACCCCAGCTGACAACTAAACACCTCACAGCTGCTTACACACTCTCCCCTAGCCCTGGGGAATGGGGAAGAGAATCGAAGGGGAAAAGAGAAGGAGACTCTTGGACTGAGATAAGAACAATGTAATAAATGAAATAAAGTAAAATTAAAAGTAATAATAACAAACATAGTAATAAAAAGAATGGAATACACAAAAAAGTGATGCATAGCACAGTTGCTACCCACCCACTCACCAGCGCCCAGCCTGTCTTTGGCTGGTTATGCCAAAGAGAAATCCTGAAACCGCAATCCCAGAAGAGAGAGAGGGCTTCCCGGCCACCACTCATCTGTATACTGACTATGATGTTTCATGACACAGAATATCGTATTGACTCCCTCCCGCTTCACTGTGCACCTGCGCAGTAGCAAAGCATGGGAAGTTGGAAAGTCCTTGATTTTTCCTAACAACAACTGAAAAGCATCAATATGTTATCAACATTCTTATACCAAATCCCATACTAAATCCAAATAGCAGTGCTATTCGAGCTACTAAGAAGAAAATTAACTCTATCCCAGCCGCAATGAGGACAATACCTTTGTGTGTTTGAGCAAGTTTATGCTGTCCTTTATACCAGCCTTTTAGTAGAAGACTCTTCAGAAAGCCATTACTGTAGTCCTTATATCGGTTTGGGAAATCCACGTACTCCTTGATGCCTAAGGGAGTTTGCTGCTGGACAGTCCAGTCAGATGATCAATACAGTTTTTGAGTGTTGGCTAAAAATAAGTTGTGAACTTACATAAACTGGAAAGCTGATGATTTGCATAGTTTTTTTTCAGTGCCTAGTTTAAGTTAATTGGATTTTTTTGATATATATGTAACACAAATTGCATTTGGAAAAATAATAACTAAGAAGAGTTTGTAGTTTAAATTGGCTGTTGTATTCCTGGTAGTACCTTGATTTCTGTGTTTTGGATATATAATTTTCTGAGTGCTATATAGCAGTAAGATCTGGGGAATTGAGGACACATACCCAGAATATCATTAGTTCTTTATGTGAAAGACTTTATTAAAGAAAAACATAAATTTTGCTATTCTAGCTCTGACTTATTCTTGAAATTGAAATCCATGATTTGGTGTTGTGCAGTTGTGTAATGAAGTTTGAGGTAATTTATATTCAGATACTTGAATAGAAATGAAAGCCTTTCATACATTGTTTGTTTTCCTAAGAATGTATTGTTGAGTTTTTCTTTCTTTAGTGTCTTTAAGTTACTTGATGCAATTTCGAAAACTGATAATGGAAAACTATTTGGTATTGTTGCTTTATTTTGATGCTATGTGATAGTAAGCAGCTTCTTCACATGTTAAATTTTCCTTCATTAGTGGTGCTGTCTGCAATGTACTCCTGACTTGCTGTAAGGATAATGTTTGTCGTCTCTGGGCAGAGACTTTGTTACCCAATGACAGTCTGTTGTATGGTGGAGGACACAACAATTGGAGTGAAGGAGCCAACTTCACAAATAACTTCAAGAGAAGTACTTCAAGTAAAGTGCAAAATGCTTTAGAGGTAAGAAGTAAAATTGAACAGTGAGAATAAATGCATGTACACGCACCTAATTTTAGATAGGATTGTAACTAGTAACTCAAACATATATCATAAGCTGAAATCTTTTATATAATAGATGTGCATAAAATGTTGTAAAAGAGTAAATTTACTTGAAATCTTCCTTAGGAAGGCTAAGCTGGCAGCCGTCCTACTGAGCTTTCACATTAGAAGACACGCTGTCGCTATGTCACTACTGCCTATTTTGCTCTGATAAAAGCAAAGCACTGAAGCAAAGTGCTTTGCAGTGTTGAGCTGAAAGGACTAGAAACAGTATGGAGCACATACTGTATATAGGTTATGTGAAACCCCCTAATAATGCTGCCTTAAAATGTATGGTAGGGGCTTAATCTGAAGTTGTGGGATGTTCTCTCACTTCTGCAACTGGAAAAACAGTGATAATATGGAGGGGAGAAAGACTTGTTGCCTTGGTTGCCTTTCTGCTATAATCCTCAAGTAGAGCACACTGCTCATAATCTGTATCCGTAAGGCAAATGGTTCTTACTCGATACTGTTTTCTAACCAAGGGGAAGTGGATTGGATAGAAGGAAGAAATTTTTCACTCAGAGGATGGTGAGGCACTGGAACAGGTTGCCCAGAGAAGTTGTGTCTGCGCCATCCCTGGAAGTGTTCAAGGCCAGGTTGGATGAGGCTTTGGGCAACCTGGTGTAGTGGAAGGTTTCCCTGCCCATGGCAGAGGGGGTGAAACTAGATGATCTTTGAGGTCCCTTCCACCCCAAACCATTCTATGATTCTGTCATCAGTGGTCTTCTACAAAGCTGTGTAGATAGTATGTGGGTATTGTGCTCATCTTAATGGAGCGATGTATTTAGCACGATCATATTGCTTTCTTAGCACACGTGGCACAGATAAAAAATATGACAGGCTGAAAGGCACAACAAAGCAAAATAAAACATATTCAAAGAGGGGAGAGGAAAGGAAATCGGAGACAGTTCCGTGTTGCTGTTGAAAATAAGAGGTGACATTAGCATCAGAAATAACAATTACTTAAAAAAATGGGAGAAAGTTATTTTACATGAGCATGCTGTGGTAAGATACTGTGATATGTATATGCTGTGTGGTGATAGGACAAGGGGCAATGGATTTAAACTGAAAGAGGGCAGATTTAGGTTAGATATAAGAAAGAAATTCTTTACATTGAAGGTGGTGAGATACTGGAACAGGTTGCCTAGAGAAGTTGTAGATGCCCCATCCCTGGAGGTGTTCAAGGCCAGGTTGGATGAGGCTTTGGGCAACCTGGTGTAGTGGAGGATTTCCCTGCCCATGGCAGGGGGGTTGGAACTAGATGATCTTTGAGGTCCCTTCCGACCCTAACCATTCTGATTCTGTAAGATGTGAAAGATAGCAAGTGAAAAGGAATGCAGAGAGTGTAATATCATACTTAATACTAAGTTGTGTACCTTCTTGTACCTTTTGGTTCATATATAGATATCTACAGCACAGTGACCTTGAATTGTGCAGTATGTGGACAAAAAGTAAGACTTTTTAATACTGGCATAGTCCATCTTAAAAATTGAATATTATTTTTCCCTTGGAAACATCTGACTATTTGCATAAAGAGGGGAAGACCGTAAAACTCACTGGGCCCTTATGACAGGAATGGACATGCTGTGGATCTGACTTTATCAGTACCGATCCAGATTTTCAGTCTCTTAATTGAGATTATTAAGATTGCTGCTTTTTTAGTTCAGAATCCAGAATAAGCCTGATACGCATTTATGAAATACAATAGTATTTTCTGTGTAAGTATAAAAACTGTTTGAACATTGTCTGTGTACCGAAATATGAAGCAGATAACAATGTCAAGGTACTGTATGGGCCTTCCTAAATTAATCTGAAGTCACTGGTATCTCTCTACTGCAGACACAGCCTGAGCAGTGTAATTTTTTGCAAGAAACTCCAGTGATGCTTTAAAGTAGCTTTTAAACTGAAAAATTTAATTTACTAGTATCTAGAAATCCACTTACAGATGAAATCTGCTTTTTCTTTTTGAAAGGAATTAAAAATGACACCTTATTCTTCATGCAGTTAAACCTGAGGCACTTCCGACGAGGAAGGAGGAGGTCGAGTGCAGTTGTAGCACATACTGGATATGCTCCACATCAGCAAGATCCCCACGAAGTTCACAGGAACATCCCTCCTCATGCAAATGCACTTTGTCACTTCCATATTGCCGCCAGTATCAATCCAGCCACAGGTAAGAAGTGTGGTAAATCCTTACTATAGGGTGAGCTACAATTTCTGTTAGGTCTGTGTTGTATGTGTAAGCTTAATTGGCTCATGTGCATTTGTACAGTATTTACATGATTATGCAAAATTGCTAGCATGTTGGTTTCATCTAATGCATGGAAGAACCTTCTTGCGCAGTAATGAAATGATTTGAATAAATTTCCTCTACAATAATCCTGTCTTTCATTTGTGGTTGTCCTTTAACTGCCATTCACAGTGGTCTGAGATACTAAGTAACCTGAGTTCCAAATTTACTGAAAATTGCATGTGATATTGGGAGTATGCTGATAAGTCAAGAATTTCCAAGCTTCTTAAGATGAATACCTGACACAAGTGACGGAAGTAATGACATATCGCTGTACTTCTCTCTGTGAACCAAGCAAAACACTCCTTCATCTGGTGTTCCATAGACTTTAATATTCTCTTGCACTGAAGCAATATGTTGATAAGCATTAAGGAAAATCCCCTGTAGTCACTAATATTTCTGTCTTCATAATCGTTTGTGTATGCTGAAAATGAAGTTCATGTCTGCTCACTGAAAAACTGAATTTTAAGAAAGGCCATTCAATGTTGCATTTCTAGTTTTACTGCTGTGATGTGATTTCCTGTGTCTGGATTTAATGAGCAAACATATTATGTAATCCTTTTCTTAGACTAGTAAAACTCTGTCTTATGAATAGGATTTTTAAAATATATTTTTGTTCCTGCTTACCCTTGTTTGAAAGGCCGATTTTTGACCTAAAGGCATTAATCATAGAATCATAGAATGGCATAGGCTGGAAGGGACCTCAGAGATCATCTAATCCGACCTCTCTGTCATGGGCAGGGACGTCTCTCAACTAGATCAGGCTACTCAAGGCTCCGTCCAACCTGGCCTTGAAC